CCCCCACACTTTTGTGTACAAATTGTCAGAGGAAATTTAACCCTCCCCTGTCCTTACAACGTGTAAACAGAGCGTGGTTGTTGTGTTCGTCAGCCTGACGACTGGCGTCAAGAGAATCTTACACTTCACGCAGTGGATCCTCTTGTCAAAAAACCACTGATGTAATGCAGTGCATGTTGATGTTGTTCTGATCTCGGCTGTGACTGTGAGGTTACAACACTTATAAGTGTTGTCAAGACTCTTAGGAAGGATGAAAATGCTGGATTTATTATATAATTCAATATTGGCTCAAAATAAGTAATTTTTAGGATTAGTTATTGTTAACCATGTATTGTACTGATCTTGTGAGTACTCACAAATGTATGTGTTTAATATAGGGCCCATGTAAAGAAACTTTTTTATTACTAGATCGAGATTTAACAAAATATATTTTTGTTTGGTCGCTGGCCCACAGGTGCCATGCAAAGTTACGTGCGCATTGACAAATGAATGAATGAGGCAGAATTTTTTTTCACGCTGATAGATCTAGACAAAAAAGAACAAATTATAAGTGTAATGTTTTACTCGCACTGACTACTTACATGTGAAAGCTGTGATTTCTCTCTTTCTCGCGCCTGTTTGTGTATCATCGTTATTTATACACAGATCTACTCAGCATTACTGTGTTAATATATCCACTTTGCTCCTTAATATATATAATACAGTAAACCGCCTGGGCTTCTTGGCCACAACAGTTGGGCTGGTGCGCCCCCATGTCTGACACGTGTAGGTCACTACCGCGAACTCAAGTACTATAATACATGAGAGTACGCTTAACCGAATACGATTGATTTTTTAAAAAAAATAGCGGTATACTGAAAGAAAATAAAAAAATTCCTGGGGTCATTTTCCTTTTATTTGATCTGCTTTTCCTAATCGACAAACGGGATAAACCGAAGAAAATCAAATTGGTCCCGTAGGTTTTGATCTCTACTTTTTTACCTCTTCTACTCAACACCTCGAGGTCACTCTGAAGGCAAGCCCGGCGTTGTGGGGTCTCGTGAGTTGATCTGCGCTTGGGGGAATCGTTGAAAGAAAGCTACACCAAAAACATCGTAAGAACGCTAGACTGAAGAAAAACTAAGTGCGAAGAAGGTGTGCCACCCCTACGCTAAAGAGCCTGTAGTTCATGCATGGAAAGCCGGCTGTGGAGGTGCGCTTATGATGGTGAGACAGTAAACTATTCTTATCATTCCGAGTGAGTGAGTGAGTGAGTGAGTGAGTGAGAGAGAGAGA